AATCAGCAAGTACACATACTGTAAACCCATTCACGTACAGAAAAAGATATTTATACATATACTCAGATTCACCCACTTCAACCAACAAAAAGTATCAAACTGGTTTTTTTGAGACTTCGTATCATCTTACCCCCCCCCCACATATTTACTGCATTGTTCATTCTTATAGTATGTGTTCTTTTCAAAATCTTAAACACTAGTTCAACTATAGTGCACAAGCTCTACTTATTATGTATGGTTAAAAGAACGAGCCGTTTTAGGGGGGCGTGGCAGAGTCTTAACTTTGATCAAGACTATCTCTTTGATTTTGAGACTTTAGTCAACGTCAGGGATCTTATCTATGCACAATCAGCTTGTAACACTCCAAAGAGAAAAGAAAACTTGAAATTGCATCATATGACCCCTTTAATGAAATTAATATTAATATGATTTCATTTATGTCATCAAAGTGACCATAGCCTGTCAATCAACTTGGTTTTAGTGAGAAACAGCCAAAGTGGATGTGAGATCAGTGAATACACAGCAACACACACACTCACACTCCCTCCACACACACTGATGCCTTGATGCTATAATGCACACAATCATATATTCATCAAAACAATCAGCAAGTACACATAAACCCATTCACATACACACAAAGACATTTATACATACCCTTAGATTCACCCACTTCAGCCAACAAAAAGGATCAAACAGGTTTTTTTGAGACTTCGTGTCGTCTTACCTTTTTTCCGCATTGTTCATTCTTATAGTATGTGTTCTTTTCAAAATCTTAAACACTAGTTCAACTATCGTGCACAATCTCTACTTATTATGTATGGTTAAAATATGGGGATTTTTATTTTTCTTCAGTCTTGGTGTCCATTATAGTGGACATGAAAAAAATCTAATAAAAAAAGGAGTTGGCACAAATCTTGTTTTTTAGACTTATTTCTATATTGGAGAAGAGCAAATATCAAGTGGATAAAAACAATTTTTGTTCAGTGAACAAAATTCTGGTCTGAAGGGGTTTAAAGTAAAACCTGCTGAAGTCTGTCATTGATGTAAATCAAAGAACAAAAGAAAAAGAGAAATCACTCGACTGTTCTAGTCACTGATTAACTTTTGTAACTTGAATCAAGATTAATCTGTATAGTTTATGCATATAGTTTATGTGAAGATTGTTTTAAAATTACTTAATATTTCAGAGCCTATTAAATGTTAAAAATAATGGCTTTCAATTATACTGTAATGTTAAATGGCTATAATTAATAGGTGAAATTGAGGGAAAATGTATTTAATAGAGACACCAGTAGCAGCATACCATTGGGCTTGAGTGGGCTTCAGCCCATGGGCCCCGGCTTGTAGGGGGCCCCGCCTTTGCCGTTTACGTTTGTTTGATTTGTTGCCCGTCAGAATTCAGAAATTATTAGCCGCATTTCCACTGCGCACGCAAGATCTAAATGGGACAGCTGGGGCTACAGCTTACAACTACAACCTTCGACGCCACAATCAAACAGCATAAACTGGTATTTATGATTATTTCACAAAGAAGGAGGACACGTATTGAATTGCGCCTGCACCGATTGGTTTGTTATCACATCCAGCACACTCCCTCTTTGAACTGTTGCCATCTGGTCGACGCTACAGAGCTCTGAGCACCAGAACGACCAGACACAGGAACAGTTTCTTCCCTCAGGCAATCCATCTCATGAACACTTGACAATAACCGTGGAACAAACAACACTATTTATACACTTATTTATCTAACACACATACTTAGTCTACACCTCAAATTTGCACATAATATACCTGTACATACCAAACTGTCTATTGTAATATACCTGCACATACAATTGTCAATTTATATATTGTTATTCCTTATTTACTTGTTCTATTTTTTTATTTATTCTTTTTTTTTTTTAATTCTTTTATTATCTGTGTTTTTTGTTCTGTCTCTGTCATTCTGTTACACTATGGAAGCTTCTGTCATGAAAACAAATTCCTCGTATGTGAAAACATACCTGGCAGTAAAGCTCATTCTGATTCTGATTCTGATCACATGGCTACTTTAAACAGCTCCATTAAGCCTTTAGCCACAAAGAGCGCACATTTAGAAAGATAATGATAAATTCTCAAATGTTCACACCTCATTTCTTTACAGAGGATGATTCTATATTAATGTTCCACTAAATTATGCGATCATCTGAGTTTTGAGCACTCTTTCTCGTCTTACTGCCATTAGACATAGTGGGGAAGAAATGTCATCAAAATGATTTTAAATTTTTAAAAAATAGCAATTTAATGAGTTTCTGTTTTTATAACATAGCTATGCCTTTGATATAGGACTTAGCCTATCACACAAACAAGAGTCCTGTTTTTTTTCCAATATCTGCACGATCGCAAATGTACAATAAACAACAGCTTACAGAGTAACTTTCAGACACAATATCCCATTTTGCGCCATCAGAAAGAAAATAGAACAAACAGCAGAAACGCTGCGTCTCCGAACAACAGTGTTTTGTTCCTCAGCGTTACAAGGACCAGCAAATGATTCAATCAGGCTATAAGTACAGTCTTTGCAAAGTTAAATGAATCAGCTTTTTAAACGAATCGGTTGATTCAACTCACTCATTAAGACAGTCACTTGCTGCCACCTATTGGCGGTTGTAGTTTAATATTTAAAAAAGTAGCTTATTTCATTTTTGCAATCATTTAATATCTCTACATTAAAATGTTATATTTAAACTTAACGTTTCTGCACAATCCATCTATGGATTTTGTTGATAGTGAATTCATTTGATTGTTAATAGCCAGCATGTCTTTTTATTCAATTGAATTTATTGATTAAATAAGAACCTGACACATAGGAGGACACATATATTACAATAACTTTTAAAATACTAATAAGCCAACATCTCTGGCTTTTTTTTTCTCAAAGTTATTTCAGGGTTTTGATCTCTCAACTGAGAGAACACATCCTGTTTATTATATTATAATAAATATTTAATATTACATTTTGAACTTTTACTATAGCCTAGACATGTTGCATATTAATTGTACTATTTATGAACCTCAAAGCACATGTTTGTGTATTTTGTGTTACTCCATAATGATATTCTATTTGCAGGCATTTGTAGTGTAGGAATAGGGCCCAAACATAACCTCAAGCCCAGGGGCACCCGCCCCCCTAAGTCCTGCCCTGGATAGCAGTAATGGTATCAATGCGTCATTAATAATATACTACTTAGTAAAAAGATGCCATTTAAACATATTTAAAATATACTATCTTCATGTTGTTTCTATATTAATTTGGAGGTTCAATGTGAAATTGTGACTATAAATATGCGATTAATCATGATTAATTACAGAAAAATGTGTAATTAATAATTTTTTTAATTGATTGACAGACAGCACTAATGTTTCCGATTTCAATTCAATTTCTAATTTTATTGGTCCCCCCAGAAAGAGATCGGGACGCCCCCCACCCCCTTGGCCCCCTTCAAATTTTCAGTTTGATAATTCGGCCCTCAAATGAAGCTAATTATATAGCCCGGTTCTAATCTGTTAACATGGATGTGGGGAAAAATACGCACCACATACACACTGCAAACTGAGTATGTGTGAAACAGGTGTAACACGATGGCCTGCTCCGTTTGCCAAACAAGAATCTCAACGTTTTTTTAGGGACAAAAAAATATATATAAATCAATAAATCTGTTTGTTGTTATTTTTCTTGTAAGTACAGTAAAGAAAAAATTGAAAACATTGTAAATATGTTTAGTCATTGTAGTAGTAATGACTGCCTGTTTTTGCAAAAAGAGTTTCATGGCTGGTAAAAAAAAATTTTGGCCGGTAAATTTTATCACGTCACCGGCCATTGGCAGGTGTGGCAAAAAGTTAGTTTTAGGCCCTGTATATATATATATATATAAACCCAAAGAAAGTTTAAATTAATATTTAATGAATTAAACGTCATTTTTGACATATAAACACCTATTTAAAGTATTAAGTAAGTAAAGTATTTGTATTGATAATATTTGAGTTGAATTTTATATACATAATAATTTAATATATATTAAGATATACCATAAAAGATAAACAAATGTGTAATACATTATATATTAACTTCCATGCAACATAAATGTGTGATATATAGTTTAAATTAATATACACCCATAAATATAATAAAAACCGATTTACACTGAAAAAATTATAATACGTACATATGTCTAAGATGTGTTTACACAATATAACATTTGTGTATATATTTTTTTATTTACTTATTTATTTACTTGTTTCCTCTGAACTTAAGTAAAAATTAAAAAATTGCATTGGTATACAATATATTATAAATATTATATTGGTATGTATTAGTGTGTATATGTCTGTGTGTGTATGTGCATATGTGTGTTTGTATGTTATAATATACTGTATACAGACAGAGTTTATATTATATCTAATAATTTAATATATTTTTGTGACAACATAAGTATAAAGGCCCATTTAAACTGTGAAAAAAATTAGAAATGTGTAAGATGTGTTTACACATTATGTAAAATGTGTGTATATACACTTTATGATATTTGCTGCCTGGTTACTATGAGGTAAGAAAAGAATTCCTGCAGTAGGGTTCTGTAGATCATCAGAAACCCAAAACCCTCAGAGTACAACCAATCTTTCTGTCAAACTTCCTCAGCATCAGTGAAAAGGATCAAATCTAGTCGTTCTCACTGAGAGAAACGCTCTCACACACACACACAGGCATTCACAATTGTAAACTCCTACCACTTCTCTGAGCCCACTGTTTTAGAGCAATAACACAATAACGGAAACCATTTTCCCTGTAACAGTTTCTGGAAAGACATTTATTTCACTTTAACCTCCGTGTGTGTTAGAGATGTCCTCAGTAATGGTGCAGGTCTGCCAGCCTACAACGTACAGTAAAAGTCCTATTTCACCACCTACTGTACAACAGAAGTGTGAAACTCACTCTCCTACTCTCTCTTTTTCCGTAGGGAATTCGGTTGGCGAGATCCTGAATTACCTGAAGTCATTCAGATGTTGCAGCACCAGTTTCCCTCAGTTCAGTCCAACGCAGCGGCATATCTGCAACACCTTTGCTTTGGAGACAACAAGATTAAAGCTGAGGTAAATCTTACTTTATATCATTGGTAATGATCATATACCTGCTTACCAAGGCACATCTGTAGGCAAAATCTATTCAGAAAGCTTTTTTGTGGCCTTGTAGAAGGTAATTAGTGTTGAAAGTGGGATCTGAATGCTGCGTTTTGGCATACGTTTGTGTTACCTTGGGAAAACTCTTATTGTTGAATACCTACTGAAAGATTTTTATTGATATGTGTCGTTACGTGAAATTAATTCTTGTGCGTACCATTGACAAATAATTCACCCCTTTATTGAATTTTGATGCCAGGTCTCTAATGGTAGATCTCCCAGAAGTAAGTTTTCACAATTATAAAGAGTGCCCTGGATTGCACCAGTAATTAAGCACTAATAGCACAGCCAAACAATACACGGAAAGCTGCATATTGACAGCCGTTCTCCACACAGCAGCTCTATAATTGTATCCCAGAGGCTTAAGAGAGGCTCGGAGGACAAGGAAATTAAATTTGGAGAATAAATCTGCGGGAACAAAACAGCAACAGAGGGAGAGACGAGCTAGCCGACAAACTTTTAAATGATATTTAATGAAAAAAAAAATAACACACAAACAGTGAGAGCCAAATTAGTTTATCCAGCGATGAGCTCCACTTCAAACCAGCATTTTTCTCCATCTGAAAAATGTCTTATTTATTAAGAAAAGACACTAAATGAATCCCCCTGCTTTCTTTGATCCGCCCGTTCATCAATTTCACCACACACCGAAATGAACTTGTTTTATGTTGTTCTCATAAAATATTTGGAGCAATGTTCCATCATAGCTTGATTGATTAGATTTGGGCCTATATATTCAGATGCTTTATGGTGTGCTTTTGTTTCTTGGAATTTAGCATATTTTCATTGGTCTATGAACAACTGGTTATAAAGTGCATTTGAAAAAGCAACATGTGCCAAACTATCTTCCCAAATTTGCAATTACAGTTGTTTATGAATCTGTTGCTAACAAAAGACGAGCTTTAAGATCTCCCTGCAGTTTTCCGACCAAATAAAAAGCATTATGGTTTAATGTTTGGATTCAAAAAACGTTGTTAACATTGTCATTTTTATTATTTTCAATTTTTGTTGTTGTTGTTGTTGTTAAATACAACAACAATACAGTGTACAACAGTACAATAATATTATTGCATTTATTACATTCCTTTATTGATTTCATTTCATAGTTTAAATGGTGATACATTAAAAATTATATTTTAAACAACAACAACAACAATAATTATTATTATTATTATATTCATTTTGAATGGGGAAAGACCTGATGAACACCCAGTGAACATCCGATCTGTCCATGTTGTCATCTGCCTTATTTAGTTTGCCAAAATAATTTTGATTTTGATTGGATACGCATCTATTAACTAAACTTGAATGTTGACAATAAACTAAGATGTTTCTCATTGCTTTTAAAAGTATGTGAGTCTATTTATTTTGCTTTTTACATTGTATTTAGCATTTATTCTTCCCTCCAGTTCGTGACCCAATCAGAACAGACCTGCAGCCCACTTTTAGTTCGTGACCCACCAGTTGAGAACTACTGCTCTGTTTCATCCCATAGCCATCATATCTGAGGTCTCTAAAAAGGTCAAACATTCATAGTTCATGGACTTAACACATCCAGTACATTATGCAACTCATTGTATTATGCAACAAGCTTGTGTTGGTACAATGTATTCCACATTTGTAAATCACTATATCCTGAAGTTTTCTACAGTGTCTTCAATGATTCTGCAGCCTCATTCTCAGTTGGGTGTAGTTTTTTTTCAAGAGTTTGACCCTGATACAGTACCAGCTGCAGTAAATCTCCAAACATGATCATTTTTTCTTTTTTCTTTTTTTTGTCTGGAGTGGGACTGAACCTCCAGTGTCAGTTTGTCCATCTGAAATGACATCACAAGGACTGCAGAAAGAGTGCAACAGATGAATTATGGGAGATATTATTGAAGGTATCTATGTAATACGCATTGTGGTGGTACCGGACCCTTAGTGAGTGTGTGTGTGTGTTGTTGCTTGGTAAAGCAGTACAGTTAATTATATATGACAGTTCTGCAGCAGAATGTGCCGAAGCCCTGAACAAGTTATTGCACCCCTGCCATTCTTTTTCCTCAACATACATATACATAAATGCTTTCACATTATGGAGTGGATAGTGAAAAATGACACCAGTCAACATCACAATGGTTTCAGGCATGGTAATGGCTTTTTTCTCTCCTTTGGCTTTATTTTTTCCAAAATAAAAGTTGTTTACATAATATAAATAGAAATATTTTATATATAAATATTAAATTTACCTTAAATATATAGACAGTTCACACACATATATTATGTAAACACAAAATTTTATTTTGGATGCTATTAAACAAATATGATTCCTAACCTTTTTCATTTAAAATTTTGTATATTTTTAGTAGTACCGGTCATAAGTTTGGGCACATTACTATTTTTAATGTTTTTGAAAGAAGTCGCTTATGATCATCAAGTCTGCATTTTTTTGAAATACAGAAAGAACTAGAATACTGTAAAACTTATATATTTTTTAATTAAAAAAATTAAACTGGTTAATAATAAATGACTTTTTAGCAATTTAGCACATCCTTATGAATGAAAGTATTAATTTCTTTAAAAATATACTGACCCATTGAATTGCAAACTTTTGAACAGTATTGTTACAAAAGATTTCTATTTTAAATAAATGCTTCTTTTTTTTTTACTTTTCTATTTCACAATATTACGTTTTTTTCTGTATTTTTCATTAAATAAATGTATAGCTTGATGAACATTGTCACGGTGCATGCGGGGAGATGAAGCGAGGACTCAATCGCTGGAGAAATGGTATTTATTTTAGTAACAAATGAAACAAAAACAAACTCAAACCACCCCGAGGGGGAAAAACAGACAGGCAGAGCTAAAGCTGCACACATGCAGACACGAAACACACACAATGAGAAATGACGGATCAGCACAGGACGGCAGACACAAGGAGAATAAATAGGAACCAAACGAGGAGGCTAACGAGGGAGACACAGGTGGAGCAACTAAAACAATAACGAGGTAACAAGATGGGAGGGGCCAGACAATAGACAGGAGAGAGCACATGGCAACAGACAAACACAACACAAGCCATGTGCTCCCAGAACACAGTCATCTGGTGGCCCTCCTGGGCACACCGGCTGAAGACTGTGACAGAACATAAAAGACTCTTCAAAAACATTACAAACTGTAATGTGTCCAAACTTTTGACCGGTATGGTACGTATATTAATCAAACTTTATCTAAATCTCTTTTTTTGTTTGTTGATGATGTTATTATAGCCGTGATATTATTATTATAGTTTTTATTTAATTAAAAAAAAAAAAAATTTGTCAGTAATTTTTTTCTGTAATTTATTCACAGTTCCTGAATACCACTTCAATATTAACTACAGATAGTCATATTATTAATATTAAGAAATATTATATTATGTATTGTATTACTACATTAAATATGCACTATATAGCCTACACAAATCAAGTGTAAGTGAACGAGACGCTTCTAGTTAATTGAAACTGAAAGTGTTGTTTAAAGCACAATTTAGAAGTTACACACATCTGACGTACTTTTTTTTAAAACATTAAAAATGGTCTAGTGTGTTTGCTTTTTGAATTTGAATACAAACGTCTTTGCTTTTACTTTTTTAGCTATTTTGCTAGTCAGCTACCGACGCGATGTCATTCATTGTACATTGTAATTCAAAGCATCACGTCATTTGTTTGATCATTTGATTTGCTAAAAACTCACACTGTATAGTTCTGATTCACTAAAAAGAAACCGGCTCATAAAAATAATTTTTTTAATAATTATTTGAACTGTTCCCATTGTATGTTTTATTCACTAAAAAGAACTGGCTCTTAAGAATCATTTATTCAGGAATCAGTTGGACTGGTCGCACTGTATGGTTTTAATTCATTAAAAATAACTCACTGGTTTGATGATCATTAACTATGATCATTCACTAAAATGAACCTTCTAATACTAGTCATTTGTTCATGAATTGGACTGCTCTTGTCGTTGTATGTTTTGCATTGTAGATTCAGTAGCAGTATTTTTTAAATAATGAGAAATTATAAAAGTATTTTATTGCATTATCTTGTCCTCACCCAACTAAATTGGCCATCCGAACATCATTCTCTCGAAATACATCACATTACAGAAGTCAAACGGGTTGTAAAGGCAGTTTCATATTGACATTTTTAAAGATAGATGTAAATGAACTTTAGCCAGACAGGAACTAGCGCACACACCGAAGCAGACTCGGATGGGAAAGGAGAACGGCTATCAGATGACAGAGCAGTATCTCCCGCAGCAGAGGTGAGGAGAATACTGATTAGTCCAGCATTTCAGCCAGACAGGCCGAGCTCTGATATTAAACTGGTTTTCTATTTTTACCATACTTCAAAATATCTATTTCTGTAAGTCATAATAAATGACTTTTTAGCAATTTAGCACATCCTTATGAATGAAAGTATTAATTTCTTTAAAAATATACTGACCCATTGAATTGCAAACTTTTGAACAGTATTGTTACAAAAGATTTCTATTTTAAATAAATGCTTCTTTTTTTTTACTTTTCTATTTCACAATATTAAGTTTTTTTCTGTATTTTTCATTAAATAAATGTATAGCTTGATGAACATAAAAGACTCTTCAAAAACATTACAAACTGTAATGTGTCCAAACTTTTGACCGGTACGGTACGTATATTAATCAAACTTTATCTAAATCTCTTTTTTTGTTTGTTGATGATGTTATTATAGCCGTGATATTATTATTATAGTTTTTATTTAATTTAAAAAAAAAAATTTTGTCAGTAATTTTTTTCTGTAATTTATTCACAGTTCCTGAATACCACTTCAATATTAACTACAGATAGTCATATTATTAATATTAAGAAATATGATATTATGTATTGTATTACTACATTAAATATGCACTATATAGCCTACACAAATCAAGTGTAAGTGAACGAGACGCTTCTAGTTAATTGAAACTGAAAGTGTTATGTTTAAAGCACAATTTAGAAGTTACACACATCTGACGTACTTTTTTTAAAACATTAAAAATGGTCTAGTGTGTTTGCTTTTTGAATTTGAATACAAACATCTTTGCAGAATAGCTAATTTTTTAGCTATTTTGCTAGTCAGCTACCGACGCGATGTCATTCATTGTACATTGTAATTCAAAGCATCACGTCATTTGTTTGATCATTTGATTTGCTAAAAACTCACACTGTATAGTTCTGATTCACTAAAAAGAAACCGGCTCATAAAAATCATTTTTTTTATAATTATTTGAACTGTTCCCATTGTATGTTTTATTCACTAAAAAGAACTGACTCTTAAGAATCATTTATTCAGGAATCAGTTGGACTGGTCGCACTGTATGGTTTTAATTCATTAAAAATAACTCACTGGTTTGATGATCATTAACTATGATCATTCACTAAAATGAACCTTCTAATACTAGTCATTTGTTCATGAATTGGACTGCTCTTGTCGTTGTATGTTTTGCATTGTAGATTCAGTAGCAGTATTTTTTAAATAATGAGAAATTATAAAAGTATTTTATTGCATTATCTTGTCCTCACCCAACTAAATTGGCCATCCGAACATCATTCTCTCGAAATACATCACATTACGGAAGTCAAACGGGTTGTAAAGGCAGTTTCATATTGACATTTTTAAAGATAGATGTAAATGAACTTTAGCCAGACAGGAACTAGCGCACACACCGAAGCAGACTCGGATGGGAAAGGAGAAAGGCTATCAGATGACAGAGCAGTATCTCCCGCAGCAGAGGTGAGGAGAATATTAAAATTAGCTTTTATTTTTCTAATTTTTATATTTAAGTTTAAAATGTTTGTAATTTTGTAATGTTTTGTTTATATTTCTATTTAGCTTTCATTTATATTTTTTAGTTTTAGTTCAGTTAGTACTTAAATTTATTTTATTTTATTTTGATGCCATGGCAATATTTCTAAATTTTCCATTTACGTTTTCATTTAATATTTATTTTATTTTATCGTATTTCAGCTTTGTTTCATTTAATGAACATCATTTTTATTCATTTTAGTTTATTTTAGTACAATTTCATTTTAGTTATTTATATTTTATTTAATTCATTTAACTTTATTTAACTAATTTTATTTTATTTCAGCTTAATTTATTTACTGAAAATGCTTTTCTGTAGTTGTAGTTTTAGTTCATTACAAAACTGATGGAAAACAGCAGCTCAGGCATTCTGCCAAATAACTCCTTTTGGATTTCACAAAAAAAAAAAAAAAATCATACGGTTTAGAATGACATGAAGATAAGAAAATAGTGACAGCATTTTTTTGAGGGAACTATTCCTGAAAATATTTAAAAATGGCACTGGCTATCAAGATGAGAAGGCTTTGGTGAGTTGATGTCAGATCGTGTTGTTTTTCCATAGCGTTTAGTAACATGCAGCTTTTTGTAGTGTGGTCTCAGATCTTCTAATGAACTTGGCTGGCTTTAATTGACTTTAGTGTAGAACAGCAAAGCTCTGTTGATAAAGATTTACTCACACCACTCAGTCTGTTTAGCTGTCTGAAGAGTGATTCATTCTCCGGCTCCCTTAAGTATTGATTTTTCAAATACACTGTTATGGATTCGGTGCCTCCTATTTGTTCATTTATCCTCCAAATGATCTCATGGGCTGACACTAAGCTGTTTTGGCGTGACTTAACACTGAATTCAGACTTTTTTCTTTTTTCTTTTTTCTTTTTCATTTATATGAGGCAGTACTGCTGAATGTAAGAATGGAAAGGTCAACATTTCGAATGTCTTCACATGAGTTGAGGCCAAGGCCGCCATGTTCTCACTGACCAATAATTCTTCATTAGATTGATTGAAGTTGCATTCAAATCAGGAGTTCATGTTCAAAATGTGAATATGAATGAATTTTCAAAGCCCTTTTCAGCTCACTGGTGCCTCGAGTGGACAAAAATTAATTTATTTGAACATTTTTCTTATCATGTGACATTAAAGGCAGAGTGAGGGATTTCTGGTAGCCAATGTTTATATTTGAAATCACCAAAACAAACACGCCCCTACCCCAAAAGGGTCTCGCCCCTATTCTGATAGCTCCGCCCCACATATACGTACGCAACCCAGGCAACGATTAGTTCTGTGAAACAAAGCAAAACCAATGTTACACCGAGTCTACGAATGTGAGCAGCGCGGCGCAACAAATCTTTCTATTTATGACGTACTGACACACATTTCAAATGGTTTTCAACGGTCGTTTGATCGCGTCCAGTGTAGGCAGACTTTAGCTGTTGTAGACACGGTGTTACTCACCTGTTACTCACCTATTGAGAAGAAACAAAGCAACCTCGGCGTCCCACATCACGAGTAGACACGCCCCTTATTGCTGATTGGCTACAAGTTTGTTTTGCGATTCGGCCCGAATCAGTTTTTAAAGTGTTTTTGAAAAATCACTTACTCTACCTTTAAAACTGACTTGAAAACAATTTTGTAGATGCCTTTTATGTAGATTTGTTTACTCATGTTCTCAATCCAGTCTTTAAGTCTTAAAACATGAACATGCACATCACCCATCACCCTCTATCGGTCTGTTTCTCTCAGATACGGAGGCAGGGCGGTATTCAGTTGTTGGTGGACCTGTTGGATCACAGAATGGCTGAAGTACACAGAAGCGCCTGTGGTGCCCTGAGGAACCTCGTTTATGGCAAAGCCAATGATGATAATAAAATCACTCTGAAGAATTGCGGTGGAATTCCTGCGCTGGTCCGCCTGCTGCGTAAGACCTCTGATGTGGAAGTCAGAGAACTGGTCACAGGTAAGAACTTATGCTGGCTTTGATATGCCTTTTTCAGTTTAAGTTTTATTATAGGAATTTTACAGATCAGTCGTCGATTCTCCCTATACATACAGTATATACATGCTGTAGCAATTAATTACCAGTTTCAGACTCTTTTAAAACATGATGAGTAATGGGGATCTTTGCACCTAAACCAGTGCAGTCACACAGTTAAGTTCAAATGAGTTTTGATGTAAGCAGGAATGACATTTTCTTTTAATTATAAGTACAGAAAGCCCAAACTTGCTTGTCTAGTGATCTGTTTCAAAGTGAAAACTCATCTAAAATTCTTGCTTGTGGATTTATTAATTATTTTCTTTTATTATTTAGAGAACAATGAACACTGGAGGGATGTTTGAATATTAGATGACTTCATTTCTTTAGTACTTTAATATTTCTAGACTGTTGTGACAGGAAACAGCATTGGTTTTGTTCTAGCCATTTCATTTGCTCTAGTCATGCAAAGTGTTAAAGACTGACCATTGCATACTATATGTATATAGAAATAGATATTATTCTTTCATTTTTTCTTTTCTTTTCTTTTTTCTATTTTATTTTATTTTATTTGTGAAATCTGTTGTACCCAATTCAGGATGTGTGGTATCATTTTCCATTCTTTAATTTAGCAAAAAAAAAATTCCTTCACCTTTTAGGGATGAGGTACGGAAAGAGATATTTTCAGCAAAATAAATCACCTGTCCCCCCCCAAAAAACATCCCCAAAGGCTTTGCATTCCCAAACATGTTTCTAAATTGTTTCTGTAACAGAATGGATAGACTTTGGAATGAAGCCACGCTGGAAATGCCTGCTATGCGCTGAATTCAGATTAACATATAAATTAAAAGCATTGCACACAGGGCACTTAGAGAGACTTCCTGTCACAAATTAATCAGCAAGCTGGAAGCCTCAAGGTCTTTGGCTGCCCAGAGGATTCTCATCCTCTCAGTCTCAAGCAAAGCAGCACATCTGAGTCATACTTTGCCTGCCTGTTTGACTCTGCAGAAATGTGTGGTTTTTTGACATACAGAAAGTAGATGTAGCCATATGGACCCAGTCAGACCTGATGGTCAGGTGTCCTGTCAACCTGCTGCCTGCATCTGCTTCACTTCAAAGGCCAGTGAGGTTTATGCAAGGATTTTCCCAGAATGAGAACACAGAGGATGGAAGGAAAGGGAGACTCTGGACAATTCTTTCCATCTTGGAAAATGTTCATAAATGGTTTGAAAACCAGTGGATTTAGAACTCCTATCTTGTCTATGTTCTCTCAGTATCATTGGCACTGCCTTTCAGTGGCTTCAGATCTCTCGGACAGGCAACAGTTAATTAACATTAACAGCATTAATCATGCTCTGTCACTGTTTTCCGTGGTGCACATCAAGGATCTGTTCTTGGTCCACTTCTGTTTCTAATCTATATGCTTCCTCTTGGTCAGATCATTCAGCGTCATGGTGAATTAAGCATCTTAACTTTCATAATTATGCTGAAGATACACAAATCAATTTTTCTGTCCAGCCCAATTCTGTTTATCCTCCCTTTTTCATCACATCCAAGATCTCAAAGTATGGATGGCTGAAAACTTCTAAAACTGAAACAGAAATCTTGTTAGCAGGCCCAAAATCCCTTTTCTTTTCCAAACACGACGTCTCCATTTATATTGATGGAGTTACGGTGAATTCTTCACTCATTATACAGAATCTTGAAATGCTATTTGATTCTAAATTATGCTTTGAACCTCATGCCAGCCAGCTTGTAAAATTTGTTTTCCCACCTTCACAACATTGTTCATATACAACCTTTACTAAATCTGACCCAAAACCTCTGTGCCATCTCCTCACTCTAGACATTTAAGACTTGATTGTTTCCTTTCATTGTCAGATTTATACTTATTTTGGACAGTCAGAAGTGTCTTTGTGTTCTTGAAATGTGCAGTATAAATTAAACATATTATTATTAATATTATTAACACCTCTGCAAATTTCTCATTTGCAAACATGTTGCCTTCAGAATTTTGTCCGGTTTTGATTTTGCATCTAACTAAAAACTTTTAGAGTAGTATTGCAGTTTGTGTTGTGTGGGTGCTGATAAATGTTTTATGAGAGTAGGACTGTGAAGCTTTAAAACCTTGACTCATCTTTTATCATGTATCCTAAAGGAAGTGCTTAGAGGTTCTACAGAGTCCATGTGAAAGATAAATAGACGAGTGTTTGGCTTTGTAAGTACAAGCATGTGACCATGTTCTTTTATGAATCGCATGACTATGGAGAACAGATGGAATATTGGTCTGCTGGAACAGGAAGCTCGCAAGAAACCCAGACAACAGAACATCCACTGAGAAACTGTCTGAATCCTTTGGCAGTGAGAGGAGTTTGAATTGCACTATGCAGTGATCGTATGCTGAAATTAGGGAGGATTCTTGCTTAGCTTAAATTCCACTCAGTGTCTGCTTTTTGTCTCTTGCTGCATTGCTCTAACATACGGCCCTGTCCCGAATAGTGCACTTGATGCAGAATTGGAGTCTCAAGGCCTTTTCCTCTTTTTAAACCATATTTTATCCATCTACACTACCTTTAAAAGTTTTTAGGTCAGAAAATTTTTATTTTTTTATTTTCATGAAAGAAGTCTCTTATGCTCACCAAGGCTGCATTTATTTAATCCAAAAACAAAAACACAGTAATATTCTAAACTAATTCAATTTAAATATTTATATTATATTTATTTTCTATTTTTATATATTTTAGAATGTAATTAAGTCCTGTGATAAAGCAGAATTTTCAGCATCATTACTCCAGTCTTCAGTGTCACATGATCCTTCAGAAACTGATTTGCTGCTCAAGAAAGATTTTTTTATTCTTATCAGTGTTCAAAATAGCTGTTCTGCTTAATATTTTTATGGAAACCATGATACATACACTGATAAGCTACCACTAAATATTGTAGAAACTTAATTTGATGTAAAGTTGCTTTGCAATGATTTGCATCGTGAAAAGCGCTGTACAAATAAACTTGAAATACATTTATTTTTGCTGAATAAAAATATTAGTTAATTAATATGAAATCGAATTCATTGACATTCAAATTCTACATGATAATTATTTATTTTACTTTTTTTTTAGACTATAACCAATATCATGTTACATTTTACAAATAAAAATATAAATCGTTATATGTCAGAGAATATAGGCATCACAGTGCTATTGAGAAAAGAATAGTGTTTGAATGAGAAAAGTAAGTGCTCATAATAATAGAGAAATTACCTCTGAGATGCTTTTTAGACAGGTACAAAAACTTAGTAGTCCTTTGTTAGAGACGCAAATGCCCTTGAATGATTGGTTTGTGATCTATCTTAAAGGGTTAAATCGTTGCCGTAGTCTCTAGATATTGCTTGAAGTTGCTGATAGATGATCTTAAAATAGGCAGAAACCATTAAATATGTAATCTGCTGATACAATAAATTGAAAAATTGCCAGTATTCATCAATGACAGATGTGGTGCTGATGCGTTGTGCATCTCTAAAACTTAGGATTTGGGGTTTGTTCAAAACACCTAATGTTTGAGCAAATAACTAAGCTATAATGTTAGTTTTTCTATTGTAAGCTCCACTAATTAATTAAAACGTTGTAAATAAATGATTTGCCGTAACATTGGAGAAATGCAACTATTTATATCCGTTTCTACACAGTCGTGCAGTCAAGTGAAGCTGTCTGTGGGATTTTTGCTCATGCAGTGAGAGACCCTGGTGAAATGAAGCAGTCTAAATCTAGGCCTGTGTTCTGCTGGCATGAGATTTGATCTTGGTCAATGTCACCACTGATGACAATTATGTCCTTGTAGTGCTCTAGCATTGAGCCTTCCTCACTTTCTCTTTCTATCTCTCTCTCTTGTTCCCTCATGAGAAGCGGTCTCTGATTAGATACTCTCTCAGTTCAGCAATCAAGGTTGTTCTTCCCTTTTCAGAATGCATGCTTTTTTTCAAAGACTTTAGAAAGTGAAAGTCAAGAAGAAAATGAGCCATGAAAGACTGCTAGAAGTAGAGTGACAGCAATAAGAAGCTCACACCTTCAAACATGTAAGACCCACGATATATCCACCTGATTTGTAATTGTAAGAATGGGTGCAGCTATTTGTAGTTTGAATGTGTGAGGTTTTCGGTATTATCAGTTATTGTTAGCTATTCAAAACAGCTTGTATGCTGCTTGTTATTGCAAACCTAGTATTTCATATCATCACAGCTGTTCAAAAGTTTAGGTCAGTGAGGTTTAGCCAGTAAGATTTATTTTTATTTTTATATATTTTTTATAGAAATTCATGCAAAGATGCATTAAATTGCTTAAAGGTGATAGTAAAACAGTTATAATGTTTCAAAAGATGTATATTACAGATATATGATGATTCTTCTGAACTTTCTATTCATCAAAAAATCCTGAAAAAAAATCAAAACCATATTACAGTTTCCAAAAAAAAAAAAAAACATTAAGCAGCACAGCTGTTTTCAACATTAATTATACCAAATCAAAATATTAAAATGATTTCTGAAGGATCACGTGACACTGAAAACTGGAGCAATGATGCTGAAATTCCAGCTGTGCATCACTGGAATAAATTACATTTTAAAATATATTAAAGTAGAAAACTGATTTGTAATTATAATATTATTTCACAAAATTGCACAAAAATTCACAAAAAAAAACTTTTTTTTTTAATCAAACAAATGCAACCTTGGTGTCTTCTTTCAGAAATATTTAAAAAATCTTATCAATCCAAACTTTTGATATATATATATATTAGGGCTGTCAGTCGATTAACATTTTTTATCTAGTTAATTGCATGATGTGTCGATTAATTAATCTAATTAATCACAAATTACATTTGGCTGTGAATATACCCCCAAAGGATTATTTAAAATTATTAAAATGATAAAATTATTAAAATTATATTTAAAATTATTATTTTTGTGTTAAATGAGAAAGTATTAAGTAGAT